AAAAAAAAAAACCAACATTAAAAAAAGCTACCTTCCACTTTCAACACATAGCTCTACATGTTTAATTTAGCATGGTTTTACACTGGATGCCCTTCCTGACACTTCCCCAAAGGGGACTTGCATCTCCAGCTGGAAACAACCAGCAACCAAGCAAATGTGTTTTCCACTAGACCACAAGTTGTCACACCAGAAAGTAGCTAAAAAAGAACAAAGTTAATGCTTTGGATCACCTGCGTTACCACCCATGATGTGGAATGGCCGGACTCTAGCAGTTCATTTTGAGAATACCCACCAATGTTGGAGAGTTGTGAGTTTCCTGATATATCCCTCCAAGCTGATATGCAATGAGATTTATTGGAAATGGTTGTAGATTTTACTTAAATTTTATATTGCAGGCTATACAGCAGGGTACAAATTGCTGGTTACACTAAAAAAAATAACGTTTCTTGCAAATATCTAAAAGAATCTGCACCGTTTTTGAAACAAAAAAGAGATAAAACTTTGGACAGATGAAAACAAAATGAACTTGAACCAGAATGATGGAAAAAGAAAGGTGTGGAAAGGGAAAGGAACAGCTTGAGCTGATTATCTGTCAAACATGGTGAAGACAATGCGATGACATGAACATGTTCAGTAGAAAGTGGCAGTAAACACTACTGGAACTGGGTTGCCAGTGTTTATTGATGATGTGACTTTTGATAGAAGCAGGAGGATGAATGGTTAAGTGTAGAGGGCTCTACTCTCTCCTCAGATTCAGCCAAATGCTTCAAAACCGGATAGTACTTCACAGTGCAAAAGGATAATGACCCAGAGCATTCTGCAAAATATATACTTTTCAGTTATTAAAGGCAAAGACCTGAATACAGACAGCAATGGAAGGGCTGCAGTAAAGGCCTAGCAGAGCGCTGTATGTCAAGGTAACACAGATGATATCCATGTTCTAAGATTTGGAAAGTTTGCTCGAATGATTTTCATCCAAGCATTAAAATACAATCATTAGATGTAAACTTGCATTAGTTTGTCCAGTTAACTTGAGCCCCTGAAAATGGGAGGGCTGTGTATAAAAATAGCTGTTATTACATTTATTATAATCATTATTATTTTTGTATATCACCGTGAATTGAAGCTGAAAGTTTGCATTTGAATTGCATCTTGATTCTCTGATTGAAAAATCCCCCGTGGTACACAGATGTAAAATATAAAAAATTATGTCATTGTCCAATAACTAATGGACATTACTTTTGTTACACCCCAGCCCAGGGAAAACCGGCGTGCAACGTAAGGAAAATTTAAAAAAAAAAAAGGAAAATGCCCCCACACTCCCTGCTCTCAAGGAAGACAAACCAAAAAGACAACTGCCCCGGATTTTGCAACATCAATCAGTTTATTAAGTCCCAAAAAGTAGCGGGCATCAGGGTGAGCATGGCCAAAACAACAAACAAAAACTCTTGAAATGTAATGCAGCTGGTTTACCTACACAGAAAACCCCAAAAGAAAAGTACAGGTGTCTTACCTGCCTCCCTAACCAAAAACAGGAGAAAAGGTTTCCAAAGAAAAATGGCTTCTCACCCCTACAGCTACCGAGTAAAAAAAATATTGACAACTATTTACAACAAACTATTTACAACACGGCAAAAGCTTCCAGAATACAAATTCACACGCAGCCACATGCACAGTTCGCACGCAGCCACATGCACAGGAAGTAGGCGAGGGCGTGCCGGTTGAGAAGGGTCCTCATTTATAGCCTCTCCCAGTCCTCCACCAATGGTCAGCCTCCACCTGGAACTCACATAGCAGCAATAACACAGGACACAAACTATGCCCCCCTCTTGTGTGGCAGACAAAAAAACACAGTACAAAAAATATCCATAACACTGAATCATAACACTTTATATATGAGAAGAAGCTAATAGTTCTGTAATATATCTCAGAACATTTAATGTGCTGCAAATGTGTGAAAAAGGAACAGAATGAATAGTCTTCGCAGATGTTACAGGATCATCTGCCTGTTGCTACTGTAAACACTCTGAGAACACTGCACATTCTGAGTAATTCCTCCACTTATATTTGAAAGAACGACACCATGATTTCTAACACTGTCACGTTGACTGAAGCACTCTTCTAGCTCCAGGGTGGTTTTTTTTATCCGAAAACCTTTTTTTTTTTTTTCTTTTACCATTTTCCCACAATCTCACTGTCACCCTTTAGGTTTATTTGTCTGCCCACCTGCTTGCAAACCTCTTTTTGATGCCCCGGAGATTTAAACTTAAACAAGCATATTATTTTCATCTAAAAGCTCTTTTGGTTGAGAAAATGAAATAGTCATTTAGTAATTATCATTAAAAAAAATAATCTAAGCATTCCTAAAAGCAGATCACGTAGTATTTGCATTTTAAATAAATTAAAGAAGAAAATCTGAGGCAAAGACACATAATGAGCAAGAGATTGTGTTTGACTTTTTTTTGTTTCATCTCTCTCCCCTCACCCCCAGTCAGTCATGGGAGATGGCCGCCCTGAGCCTGGTTCTGACAGAGGTTTCTTCCTGTTAAAAGGGACTTTTTCCTTCCCACTGTCACCAAGTGTTTGCTCATAGAGGGTGTCTGATTGTTGGGATTTTCCCTGTATGACGATCTTTACCTTACAATATGGAGTGTCTTGAGGTGACTTTTGGTGTGATTTGGCGCTATATAAATCAAACTGAATTGAGTCTAAGATTATCTGGCACTATTTTTTTTATATATTTTTTTAATTTGCTACTCAGTTGCAATTAGGAAACATTCGTGATTTGGGTTAAAAGTGATCATTTTCCAACATTAAACATAACTTAGTATGCTCATTTGAATAATTCTGCCCAATTTCATGACACAGGTGCATGTTTACGGTGACCGCTGTGTACATCGGCGTACCCTCGCCCTTACGTTGCTTGTCTGTGTTTCATGGCGTATAGTGTGATGATATCTGTGCTTCTTTATGTGCTATGGAGTTTTTTGTGTTTTCTCCTCATGATGAATCACTTGTTGGAAGTCATCATGGACAGAACCCCCTTTTTTTTTTCTCCTGACTTTGCCCCTATATGTTACATATTTCACTATCTATCCCTTTTTTTGCTGCCTGTCTCCCCAATGTAAGTTTGTATATTGTATGTATTGCCTGTATGGTCGACTAGGTCTGTCATTTCAGCTGCTGGCAACTGCAACTGACAAATAAAGCTTATCCTTATCCTTATTTCACATGAGAGTTTAATTGTTAAAATAGAACTATATGTCATAACCTATAGGGAGCATAGACTTCTAGATTTAGATAAGCAGACTGCCAGTGTAACTATCAAGCTACAGTAGATACAAAGAGTAACTGAGTACAGGGAGAATCACCTGACCTGACTTTGTCCACAGGTAATACAATCTGCCGACTAGCACCTCTGAGCTCACTATGTGGTTAACTATTGGCAATCGACAGAGGAATTTCACATGAAAAAGAAATGTAAGTGAATTAACAAAAATCTGCAATCTCACACAGACACATTCTTTTTCTAAATTTTCCTCGGTTGCCTGTGGGTGCATGGGAATAGGAACCCCTACATAAATTTGCTGTGCTTCAGTAGATAATTCCACACATGATCCTGATATGTATAAAGAAACAACAGACGGATAAATAAATGAAGTGGACAACACTGTGCATTTTAATTGGCTTTCTTTCCCCTACACTTAATATTCTCAGAGGCAGGAATTTTGTAGCCTGTAAACACCACCGCCTGTCTAAAAACAATTTAAATTCTCTTTCCCTCCCTTTTCTGCTGGCTGCTCTGCAACCTGTAATTTCAAATTACATGTTGTTTTACCCTTCAATTTTTTCGGGTTCTGGATCAGTGGATAGGCATTTGTTTACAGTCTAATTTGAATAGGTGGAGGAGTGACCTGCATCCCAAAGCACCGTCCCCGGTGTGGAAAAGGCAAGCACTGTTGGAGCAGGTGTTGCATGCTGCTGCAGTCTCTGAGCAGATACCTCTGTTCTTGCCCTCCCTAATTTGAGTTGACGCAGGTAACCCAGACAACCTGACAATGTAGACAAAGTGAAGGCAGACAGGGGAATGGACCTTAATAAGGACAGGCCCCAGAGGAAAGAGCACTGGAGCAGCAGGGATTTTCTGAGTTCGGAGAGTTGTGACGCAAATTCTTGTTATACAAACTTCTCATTTAGAGAAGACTCCCCGAGCTACGGTATGTTCATGTGGCTAATATAATGGGCTCCACTTTATAAACTGCTGTGTCAAATTGCCGCTTGAGGCTGTAAAAAATATTTTCTCTGTTGTGACAAATAACAGCAGCCGTCTACAGTCATTCCCCATGTCCTCCACTCACCAAGTTCCCTTTGAAAACCCTTTTCTCACCTCCAAAAAACTGGAAGTTTCTGTTGTCTGAGCGGAGGGGAACTTCGCAGTTCGATTGATGAGAATATCCTCGAATTTCATATCGGCAGCTCAGTTTAATAGGAGTCGCACATGAACGCGGATGTGGGTCACTTTTAATGCCGTCCACTAACTGACTGGATACGTTTAAAGCCCATTAACTCTCCCGGTGTTGTAATTAGAGAACCCCTGCTCACGGATTGTGGACCATTCCTCCGTTCCTCCACATCCAGGCGAGGTGAGAGCGGCGCAGAGCACCACACGGACCGGAGCGGGTTAGTGTGGGTACACGGAGGCGCGTCACACTCACGGACTCTGTACATCGCAACTCCAACACAAATGGATATTTACGTGGCTCTGTTATCCCTTTTCTTTTTTACCACACCAGGTAAGCACAAAGCCCGTGTTCACTCCTGTAGCATCTTATTGTAGCAGAAGCTTTTTTTTTCTTTATATATATTAATTTCTTTTTCTTTACGCTTCCCAGTTTGCACATTGAGGGCAAGGATTCCAGAATTGTGGCAGTGCCTTTAATTTTTCAGTATTATTTCATTTATTTTTATTTTCAATCACCTACAGTTTGCAGAGTTACAAGACAGGTGATGGTCGTGGACACATACAGCGCTTTCCCCCTCTTTCTTTTAGTGGGCAGCCTTAGCAGCATCTTTCGTGAAAAATAAAAACTGCGTGACTTTTTCCACAACCAGCCATTTTAAGTGGATAAATGCAGAAAACAGTGACAGAGTCTGTGTTTAAAGTGAATCAACATTGTTGTTAAAACACTGTCAGCTTCACTTCTGTCAACAGATTGTCCTCTCACCTCCAAATTCTCTTCCACAGCTTTGGCTTTCGGTTCAGATCAAGACTACCAGCTTGATATCATCAATGAACTTGACCTGGCAAATGCCACCTATGGAATTACCCAAGTGGCGGGTCTTCACAACAGCAGCAAAGCCTTCCTTTTCCGAGGTAATGCATGCACTCTGATGTTTTCTCCATCAGTCGCGCTGCTCAAGTTCAAGAAATGGCTTTGTCTTCTCTCTTTATGATTACGCGCACTCACTCGCGCACGCTCTTTGTTTATTAGTAAGTGTGAGGAAAGCCACACGGCGCCACACCTTTTGGTGTCACCGGATTAGCGGGGATGCTGAGAGAGAACGCTCCGGGGAGCCTCTCTCATAATTACTCCACTCTCATTTTGTCCCATGCAGCAGATGCTCAGACTCTTTCAGGCACGCTGATGCACTTAGTCTGTGTTAGATATCTCCAGCACTTTGATTGCTCCCAGTGATATCCACTACCTAATGCCAACAACTGGTGGTTAATGGAAACCAGGCTGCTTTCACTGTGAGGATCCTGAAGGACGCACAGCATGACTACAGCGTTTAAAGCCTAAAAGGAGAAAAATCTTAAACTCAAATGGCAGTAGTTTAAAAATGATCAACCAGTTTAAATTAAATTTGAGCTTTGTTGTGGTTTGAGAGGGCTTACTGGTGTCACCAAATTGCTTTCCTATGCTTTGCTGGCTTGCTTCTCTGCACTACAAAAAAAATAAAGACTGTTTGGCACAACTCGTACCGTCTTCCTGTAGTGCCGTCAGCTTTGCAGAGGCGGAATTGTTAGAGTTGTGGCACAGAGGAGAGAGTGTGATGCACAGCACTGATAGAAGAGAGAAAGAGAGTCAAGATTACTAAGAAAGTTACAGGAGGGTTTTTTTTTAGGTGATGAGTCGCTCTATATGTGTTTGCGTGCTTTGATTCCCTCTTCTGCAAGAAAAGTTAACAGCTATAGAGTGGAAATCAGTCTTTGTTCATGTTTTACTTTCCCGATATTCAAAGAGGCTTCAAGTCTTGTGTGTGCGTGTGTGTGCGCGCGCGTGCGCACGGGTTTGTTGGAGGTAAACTAGTAAGGTTTTTTTTCTTGCATTACTATTCAAATTTAAAGATATGGGCACAAACACCAGCAGCTTGAATTCAAATTTGGTAGCTCTGGGTGTTGATACTCATATAAAGCAGAGTGGCAGTGTTTTGTGTGTATCTGTGTGTGTGCGTGTGTGCAAGTAGTTTTATTTTCTAGAGGGTTTGGCTGGATGAGCAACTGGCCCTGTATGAATGAGTGCAGAGCAGCTTGGCCAAGTCTTTCAAGTTGAAGCTATCCAAGATTCAGGGCTGGCGGGCATATGGGAACCTTACTTTTTACACGACCCACACAGGCCTACACCGCAATCCTACTCCAAGCTGTTCTCCCCACAGTTTCTAGGCTTCCAGGGTCGAGGTGCAGAAGCCAGATAGGAAAACAGGAGGTCGATCCAATGGGGAAAACTGGACCTGTGACTGCTGGAGAGGATGCTTGTGTTAAGACCTATTTAACACTTTGCCTAAACTCCCACTACTTTCATGGCCCTGTAACCCAGATGGCTGCAGCCAAAGATGTAGCAATTACTGGGTCTCTTGTGAAATAAAAAAAAAAAAAAAGTTGATTCTTGAGCCACTGTAGTTGATTGGGTCAGAGATTATTCGAAATGACCTATTTACATTTTGAGCAATCATATTGTGCTCTGGTCTGAATCTATTTCATTTGTTAGATTGCATAAGTTGTAGACTAACGTGAAATTGAAATGTTGGGTAAATGGCTGGAAAACTGGGGCAAAGCGGCGTTCCAGTTAATGTGTATAATGCTGAGGGGAGTGTCTTTGGCTGGTACCAGTCTCGGCATCTTTCAGTTGGCAGTTCATTTAAAAACAAAAAACAAAACAGATGGTTTTCATGAGAAAATAGGTTTCAATATCACTTCTCTGTTATTATAATATTAACGTACCACCACACACTGAAATCCAGTTTCTGAGAGGCAAGCAGGTGCAGCCACTGCTAAAAGGTTCTTAGTTGAATTTGAGACTTGATGCTGTGATGAAAAGAAACACAGATGCTAATAATGCTCTCCACTGTGCACTGAGAGCAGGGAACAAAACTCAACTAATTTCTAAGATCTCTGCACATTTTTTTTTTTAAAATTTGCACCTTTTATGAACAGGACTGTTTACATTGCTGGAACGTCTGTGATGTATTGAATAAAGTTAGTTTGCCCAGACAAGTGTTGACCTAGTTTCTCATCCTACATTGGAACCCAGATTGTCAGCCTCATTACTCAGACCCCCTCTGTCCCGGTGTTGGTTTACATTTAAAGTAATGGCGATTATTAGTTTGTATTCTTGTATTCCCCGTGGGTATAGTTTGCCTCTGTTGGTTTGTCACTTTTGTCTAGACTGAAATATCTCATCGCATAAGACCATCCCTGTGAGTCTGATAGAAGTGCACTCAGAGCTTGAAAATACAGTATGAATGTTCTGTAAAACACCTGAGTGACAGTTGAGTACATTACAAGACATTCTTACTTCGCAGTGAACAGACCCTCATATTTTTCTGAAGCTCAGCTCAAAGCATTTAGTTTAAACCTGCATAAGTATAGCTG